ATAGCCCCCCTCCTCTGCTTTTACCTGAGTTGCTGTTTCTGTCATGCCGGTGTAGCGTGCGGCCTGCTAACTCGACTGCAGCGTCGGGAATCAGCGGGTGAAGCCATGTCTCCGTAATAAGAATAATGCTGCAGTTACGTGCAAAGCTCGTGGTGGCTATCCAATTTGTGGGTGATGGATCTGGCGTTCGATAGGAAAAGGCTCGGAAGTGCTGGCCGGTGTGGATGTTTGCGTAGCCTAGCGTCTGAGCCCGACCGGCATCCCCTCTTCTTTCTTTCCCTCCGTCGCCTTCTACGCTTGCTGGGCGGGCAGACCATCCACGGTGACCCCGGCGGTCTCGCTATCTCCTCCAGGATGTTTTGTGTTCGCTGATAGTCGCCAGAAACAGACAAACTATATTTAAAACCTAGGTCAATTAGGTTCTGGCGACTGTAAGAGATGGCGGCGTTGCAAACATTAAAAAATATCCACATTAAAAGTAAAAATGAGCACCAAACTGGAGAGCTGCACCCGTGCGCCGCCATCTTGATTTTCCAATGTGTTCTCGCACCTCCACTTCTCCTCCCAGGGAAGTTTCCTGTGACTGTGCTTTGTCAGATGATGGCCTCCCCGAACGTTTCAGAAAGCCATATCTTAACATCCTCCATAAACCCTTTATTGTATTTAGCGATGCTTGAGAACCATGTATTTTGTTTATCTTTCTCATCAAATGAGATTAGAGAAAGTAAAGATTCATGCAATGCACTGGCATCCTTGAACAGGTGTGTTAACTCATCAAACTGTTTTTTGACTTGTGAATGATTTTTATCACCTTTCATTAGCTCTTTAAGTGCCATAATAACACTTTTTATTTTGTTTACATGCCTTTTCCGATCTGTTTGGATGGTTTCAATTTTGTTTGCAAGAGCTTTCTCAGTGAGGGAAATTAATCTTTTATCCTTTTCAGTTTTTCCAACAACAGATGCAGCCTGCGATCCAGTCATTTTAAGCATTCAACATAAGCAGCATGCCAAAATCCAAAACAAAGGCAACAGCGATTCCTTCAAACTCAGTTGAATGCCTGCAGAGCCACAGCACACACACACACACACCAAATCCAACAGCAAACGTAGCGGTGGGCGTGTCACGAAAACATCTTCGTATGGTCAGAATCCAAACTGCGTTCAAACAAACAACACGCAGCACAATAACACAGTTTACATACCACCGTCGTCTTCTCCTTATCTGTCAGACTAGCCGATTTTATGGGTGTAGTGGCGATGGCGTGTGGGCTCGCGTCGGCGTTTATTCAGCGCTGATTGCAGGAGGCTCCATTGCCGTCGCACGTTTTTGCTGACAAATATTGGCGACTGTCAAGCCTTTGAGTTGCCGAGCAGCTGAATAGGGGAATAATGTTGACGCGCCCGCAGTTCAAAACGTATGTCAAAGTTCCAGATTAAAAACTTCTTTGTTTGTTATCAAATCCTTAAAATCTGTAGAAAAACAGTGATCAAAAAAACATTCTAAGCTTGAGCGGTCAGCAATGGTCGACTTCCTCCATCACCCACTCATTCACAAAAATTCCCTCGGGATGTGAACAGGTGATCTAGCAATCACTATTACTATTACCGGCACCACGTGACCCAAAGCTACACCTATCCACAACATCACCTGTGCATTATAATAAAAGGTTGTGGAGTATACCAGGCCCAAGCGCACACACACACACACGCAGATCCGTATTGCCAAGGACCACATTTATTGATATTTACACAGCAGACAATAGTGTGACGCATGCACCAGTTTATTGTATTTCCAGACTTGCTTTCGGCACAATTTACAGTGCACGCTACTCTGTTTTTTGTCAGACTTGAAATAGCCGAAATACCTTCACACTACGGAACTTCTATGGCTCTTCCGTTCGACAATCTCTCCGGCATTGGAACCATCATCTGTTTTCTCTTCGGTCACGCTCGGTTGACTTTTCTAGTTGGCACACTCATTTCCTCCATTACGCGCTGGCTCCATTACCCGCTGGCTGCTTCCCAAACAAACACACGTGCGGCTTGGCACGTGTGCTGTAAGTAACAAGTCACGCGACGTGACGCTGCGGCTGTGATTGGTTTGGCCCTGTGCTACTTAATTTGGATTGGCTGACCTTTTTTTTTTTTTTTTTTTTCTTTTTTTTTTTTTTTAGAGGACAAGAGCGGCGAGGTCTATCGCGATAGCTTAATTTCTCTATCGAGTAAAAGTTATATCGCGATACATATCGTTATCGTTCTATCGCCCAGCTCTAAGTCAACGTCCCCGACTCGCCGTGTGACCACAAAGGGTCCTTGCCACTTGGCGAGCAACTTCGAGCTGGAAGAAGGGAGTAATACAAGCACTCTGTCTCCCGGTGAAAATTGCCTAAGTCTAGCCCCTCTGTCATACAGGCGTTGCTGACGCTGCTGAGCCTGGAGCAAATTCTCCCATGACAACCTCCCCAAAGTGTGGAGTTTTGCTCTCAGGTCTAACACGTACTGAATCTCATTCTTGGCGGGGCTCGGCCCGTCCTCCCAGCTTTCTTTAATCAGGTCGAGCACCCCACGTGGCCTCCTGCCGAACAGCAGTTCAAAGGGAGAAAATCCCGTAGAGGCCTGGGGCACCTCCCGCACTGCGAATAACAGAGGGTCTAGCCAGTGATCCCAATTGCGTTCATCCTCGTTAATGAACTTACGAATCATGGACTTTAAGGTCTTATTCAGCCGCTCCACCAGCCCGTCCGTCTGAGGGTGGTAGACGCTGGTCCGAATAGATTTAATGCCCAGTAATTCGTATAGTTCCCGCAGTGTACGAGACATAAACGACGTGCCCTGGTCAGTCAGTATCTCTTTCGGGATTCCGACTCGGGAGATGACCTGAAACAGTGCCTGCGCCACACTCTTTGCAGAGATGGTGCGCAGCGGGACTGCTTCCGGGTACCGCGTTGCATAATCCACCAGGACTAACACAAAGCGGTAGCCGCGTGCACTCCGGTGAAACGGCCCGATGAGGTCCATGCCAATGCGCTCGAACGGGACCTCTATGAGTGGAAGCGAACGCAAAGGCGCTTTTGGTATGGCCGGCAGATTAACAAGTTGGCAGTCCGGGCAGGACGCGCACCAGCGGCGCACATCCGCTCGGATGCCCGGCCAATAAAATCGGGCCGTTATTCGCTCCAGAGTTTTTTCGTATCCCATATGCCCTGCCATGGGGTTATAATGAGCCGCCTGGAAAATCGTTTCCCGGCGGCCCTGCGGCACCAACAGCTGGGTGTGCATCACCTCCGTGCGAGCGTCACGACTCACTCGGTATAACCCATCTTTCGACAAAATGAAGCGTGGGTAGGTCCGCACGGCTTCAGGGCGCACCACGTGACCATCAATCTCAATCACTTGGTCAAAGGCTGAGCGTAGGGTATCGTCACGAGACTGCTCCAGTGGGAAATCACCCGTGGGGGGAACTTCCGGAGCCGGCGGGACTACCTGTGAAGGACTCGCCGTCTCCCCCTCCCCAGAGTCAGTGTCGGACAACCCCGCGTCATCACTGAGCGCCGCGCAGACACTACATGCTACTAGCGGTCGTGACCGCACCCCCGCATACTGTCCCAACAGATGACAAAACCCCGGCCAATTTGTGCCCAGAATTAGGGGATGCGACAGGCGCGGGCTAACCGCAGCCGTTATTCTATGCGTTTTACCCTTATACTTCAATAACAGCGGCACTATGGGATACCTGTGAACATCACCATGCACACACCTCACCTCCACCCATTCTGCCTCCAGCAATGCCCCGGGGCGAACCAAACTTTGGTGCACGAGGGTCTGCGTGCAGCCTGTGTCCACCAAAGCATGGCGTATACCCCCTCGAGTCCTTACCGGAATGCTGTATGTCCCTCCCGGACCGGGAGAGGGCGCTGGAGCACCGGCAACGCGGAACACCTGCCCCACCTCCATCAGAGGACAGTCCCTCCTCAGGTGTCCCGGCTGTCCGCACTTCCAGCACTCCTGCCCCGGCATCTGTGCTGCTCTCCGTGGCTCAGGGGCAGCGCTGCTTAGGTCCGGTCCCTGGGAAGGCACAAACGCAGCAAAAGGATTAGAAGGGCTCAACACCAGCGTCCGCTCTGCCTGCCCTGGCACAGGCATCCGGCGCCTCGGTGCCGGCACCGGGGCTTGTCTGTTCGGCCTCCGGCCGCTGTCCCAGGGCTCCCCCGCTCTAGCGGCAAGGTGGTCCTCCGCCAACGTCACCGCCACCTCCAGACTCGCGGGACGGTGACACCTGACCCATCTCGCCGTCTCTGCAGGCAGCCCCTCCACAAACTGCTCCAGCACCACTTTGCCCACCAGCAGCATCTCGCCTTCTGACGATCCCAGCTGCAGCCAGCCTACGGCCGCGTCATGCAGCTTCCGGGCCCAAGCAAACGGCCGATCCGCCACGGCCAGCCGACAGGCCCGGAATCGCCGGCGATGATCTTCAGCGGTGAGCCCCAACCTGTCCACCACCGCCCGGCTCACGTCCTGGAAGCTGCCCCTCGAAGCCGGCGGCAGACCCAGGGCCGCCGTCCGAGCCTCCCCTGACAACAGAGGCAGCAAACGCGGAGCCCACTCTGCCTGCGGCCACTGGCAGGCCTCCGCCGTGGCATGAAAAGTCTCCAGAAAAACCTGGGGGTCGTCCCCGTCCCCCATCCGGGGCACCGCCACCGACAGCGGTGGGGGCTTCGGCGGGTCGTGCCTGGTCGTGGCTCATCTTTGCCATCTCCGCCAGCATCTGCGCCAAATACTGCAAAGGCTGGGCGGGCGGCGCAGCCTGCGGGTCGGACATCCCCACACCGGCAGGCTCCTGGGTTTCGGCACCACTTGTGGAGTATACCAGGCCCAAGCACACACACACGCAGATCCGTATTGCCAAGAACCACATTTATTGATATTTACACAGCAGACAATATGACGCACAGACTGACAGCTCTCGATCCCAGCTGATGTGTGTCTCTTTTCCCTTAGCGCTCCTCCACTCCTCTCCGCCTCACTATATAAAGGGAAGGAAAACCACCATCAGTCCAAAATCGCCCTCAGCTGTTCTTACCAGCACCGCCCCGTCGAGCTCACTGCACCACTCCTCCCCTGCAGCCGCGCCCCGGACCACACCTCCACCACAAAGGTGTTGATTGCAGCTGACAGTGTCTGCAGACTTTGATAACTGTGTGTCACCCTCGTGGTTAATCAGAGGGAAATCTGAGTCAGTGTGGATTTGGTTGTACAGCTCTCACACATACAACCTGAACTGCACATTGTAAGTGTGATGTTCTTCAAATTTGAACAAAGTAAAAACTAAAAAACTTTGAAGTCACACAAGCCAAAATTTTATTCACAATCTTGAACTTTTACTACTTTTATCCCCAAAATGAGCTCACTTCAAATATTTACCACAGCATAGCGTCCCCAGGCACCTGAGACGTTTGGCAGATGGTGAAACTGTTTATCTTTGTGAGGTAAGAGGGGGCACTTGTTGATGAGCTGAAGGTATAGACCTGATGTCACTGTTTGGGTTCTTTGTCATTACAGGAGAAAGAAGTGAAAGCAGGCCGAAACCTCAGCACATGGATGACATCAACCAAAAACATCCAGCACCAGAAAGTAAAGATGAGCCAGCGGCGATCCCTGTGGAAAAGACTTTTCCTGCTATGAAGCAGCCCAGAAGACGCAAGCGCGCCAACGGGGAGGAGAGAAGCTTGAGCTGTGACCAGTGTGGAAAGACCTTTACTCTGATTGGTAGCTTAAAATCACATCAGCTGATCCACACCGGTGTGAAACCATTCAGCTGTGATCAGTGTGGAAAGTCTTTTACTCAGATTGGTCACTTAAAAGCACATCAGCTGATCCACACAGGGGTGAAACCATTCAGCTGTGATCAATGTGGGAAGACCTTTACTCATAGATGGAGCTTAAAATTACATCACGTCATCCACACTGAAGTTAAAGCTTTCAGCTGTGATCTGTGTGGAAAGTCTTTTACTCAGATTGGTCACTTAAAATCACATCAGCTGATCCACACAGGGGTGAAACCATTCAGCTGTGATCAATGTGGGAAGACCTTTACTCATAGAGCCAGCTTAAAAAGACATCAGCTGATCCACACAGGGGTGAAACCATTCAGCTGTGATCAGTGTGGAAAGTCTTTTACTCTAAAAACTCACTTTAACAGACATTATATGATCCATGTTGGAGGTAAATCATTTGTCTGTGATCTGTGTGGAAATTCTTTTACTGGGATTAGTAGGTTAAAAATGCATCAGCGCACCCACTCTGGAGTTAAATCATTTGTATGTGGTGACTGTGGAAAGGCTTTTACTCACATGACTGGCTTAAAATCACATCAGCGCACCCACTCTGGAGTTAAATCATTTGTATGTGGTGACTGTGGAAAGGCTTTTACTCGTATGACTTGCTTAAAATCACATCAGCGCACCCACTCTGGAGTTAAATCATTTGTATGTGGTGACTGTGGAAAGGCTTTCATCCATTACAAAAGTCTATTGAGCCATCAAAAGACCCACAAAGTGTCCTCCTGTGAGAAAAGTGGCAGACCAATGGGACATTACCCTGACAGGGTTCATTTGAACACAGTGGGAGAAACGGGGGATCTGAACAAAAGTTCTTCTGGATGCTGCGTAAAACTTAAAAAGCTTGAGATCAGGCTTCACAGAATTCAGCTTTAATTTCCTGAGAAAGTCAGAGCTTCACTGTCTTTGTAGATCTAGCGAAAACATGAAAGGGTGCAAAAAGAGGCACTGTGGTACTGCATGATGAAGTCAGAAGTGACAGAGAAGTATGTGAGCGTGGTTCAGGACATGTTTGTGTGGTAGCAGTGACTACCACACATACTTGGGTTGAAGGTGGGGGCAGGATTACATCAATTCTGAGCGCCTTCTTCCTTTTTCAAAGAGAGGGCAATACTCAGGAAAGGATGATGACAATAGAGCTGCAAGACAGGATGGAAAGAAAAAGAGTTTAAGAGAAGATCATGAATGTTGTGAAGCGATCGAGCCGCGATTACAAAATCTTAGCTTATGGAGTTAGTTATCCCAACACAAGTTTAGCGAGTTTAACTTCACTGGCTGTGTCCACAAACAGCATGCAGAGCAAACATTACTCCCATCATCTGATCACAAGAAAAGCAAAATGTCAGAAGAGTTCACCTTCTGGGTCAAACTGTCAGACCTGTTACTGTTTATTTGGCTGTTCATTGTGAGGTAATTATCAGTGGCAGTGCTGCGCCACTTCTGTTGTAACTCACAGGAAATGTGTTTTAAATGGGCTCTATTGTCTTACAATATTGTGTGAGTCTGTTTTGCTCCAGAAGGACACAACCGTTCCTGCAATTTTTAATGTTACAGTAAAAAAAAGTAAATTCATAAATTTGTGTCATTTTAAACAGGCAGTATGTGGAAAATTACACGTGGGTAAGAATATATTTAATGTTTTCAGTGGTCTGTTTTCTTACAGGATGTGAGTGTGTTTTGCTCCATGAAGACACAAACCTTCATTTTTTGTTATGTTGCAGTAAAAATATTTTTATTGTAAGTCATATATTTTCGTCATTTTATCCAGGCAGTATGTAAAAGATTAACTGAATCCTATGAAAAATAAAATGTAGAAAGATGTGACGTGTCTTTCAGGGGTTTTTTTCTGAATAATTACACACTGCTTAAAATTAATTGCAGTATAATTATTTGTTTATTTCTTCCTCTGTAAGAAACTGACTTGCTGTCCCTTTGTTCCCGTGTACCTAAGTAATTGTGGGTAATATCTAGATGCATGCTCAATCATCCAGGTAAGGAAATCCCAGAAGTTGATTCTGTTCATCTGGACGTAGCGTTTTCAGTGGGACAAACGTTTCGTAACTCATCCCAGAGACTTCTTCAGTCTCAGCTGACTGCAGGTTTCTCCAATCTTATAAACACTTGCATAATTTTTGCATAATGAATGAACAATGGGCTGTGAGGTCAGTTCCTTGATCATTAGTATGCAAAGTGTCATGAACACTGATCACTAAATCCACTATTGGAGTGTACATTGTCCGCTCCATTCATAGCTGAATGCATCACATTTACTTCTTCACATTTTGTACCAGAAGACTTACCAGCCTTTAGAAGACAGTGGTCCCGAACCAGAAATGGTAAAGTCGCTGTGTATAAGAGCAAGGATATTATATAGGGTCTGACAATATAAATGGTACTTGATTAAATATTAACAGCAGTACTAAGTAGCAGCCTGACCATTGATTCAGATTGAATACATAATTTTCTCTGGGAGCAGGCCTGTCGTCTGGAACATGCTTTATATTTACAGCATGGAGGGCATCCGGGTGGGTCTTTATAAATTGCTTGCAAGTAGTCTTAAGATGACACTTTGCAGATCCCAGTGCCAACACTTCTCATAAGCCTTCACCCTTGTGTACTTCTGCTCTGTGCTCACTTGACAAGTTGTTTCAGATAGTGGTCCGTCTTGGTAGTGATGGTGAGATGAAGCCTTGTGATGAACTGAAGCTTTCCATCCAACTGGTCGACTCATGGTTCGAAGCATTGTGATGATTCATTTGGAATTCATGACGACGTTTATGTGAAGCATAGTTTGAATCTTTGTTTGCTGCTGGTTCGGTCAATATTGTTTGGAGAGAGATCAAACAGCTTTAGAATCGGTGCAAAAAGGGCGTAAACACAAAGCGCGGACCCGCCGAAACATCAGAATCAGCGAGCTGTCGGCTTTCAGTCCCGACCGTGTCCATGTCCACGTACGAGCCGTCGGGTGAGAAAGGCGACATCTCACTGCTTCTGATCCGTCGGAGGCTCTGTGCTTTGTGTTTATGTCTTTGTGCAGAATCTGTGTTCCTGCTCTCATTTACTGCTTTAGCTGTTTGGTGGTTGTTGAAATTTTGTGAGGTTTAACCTGAGATTCTGGCATTTCGGGCAAAATACATTTATATAAAAAAAATTGATTCAGGATTTTAATGAATCGATATGACGTTATCCAAGAATTGATTTTAATCGATCATCAAAACCCACCCCTAGTAACTGTGTAATGCTTATGTACATCTGGATAATGACACAAACTAGTGTGTGGCGCTTCACTTTTAAATAAACTAAAAGACAGAAATCAGATTATAGGATCTGTAGTGTTGTTTATTTATATTATGGTTCTTATCATTCGTGATATTTATTACTGTGTGCATACTTTATTAGAAGAGATGAGATTTTAAAAAAATCTCTTCCTTCTTCCAATCAGCTGTGTTTTGCTGCCCATTTTATTTCGAATCTGGCGCGAACCGGCGAGCCAGTTACTGAATCAGTCACTGCATACGTAATCAAAGCGAGCCTCGATACGCGCTTCACAAAAACTCGCCGAGATTACCCGACACAGGTAGTGATGGTAAATTTGATACTTTTTACTGAATCGAGTTTTAATGAGTCACTCACCAAAGTGAATCGGCTTTTTTGAGTCATTTGATTCACTGAGTCAGTTGACCAGAGAGTGCAAAAAAATTTACATTTTCACTCAAACTTAATTTGTTTCTCTTTTCATGTAAATCCCACCGCTAAGATGAATGATTCTAAAAACAACTATTTTATAGAGCAAAAAAAGAGTAAAAAAATTTCTAAAATTAAGCAATTTCCTATCAAAATTGCTTAATAAACATTTATTTTGTTTATTTTTATTTTATTAGTATTTTCCTTAAATGTGTTAAATATATATTTTCTCATCTAAATGTCCACTGAAATGTGAGCCTGGGGGCGGTAATGCGCTTTAACATTGGTTAAAGCGCATTGAGTAGAAGCCAACATTGGTTGAGCTTCTACTCAAGGTCTTTTCTTCCAGTTCAGAGCAGAAATGTTTTTGTTAAGATACTGGATGTTGTGTTTTTCTCCACAATTTTAATTATAAGCTAGATACATTGCTGCTAACAGCAACAGGGATGAGTCAGTGAGTCAGTTGGACTTGTGAATCATGATTCATGAGTCAGTAAAGTGATTCTCCAGTATTGAACGATTCGCGCATCACTATTGATGATGTAATGTGATGTATCAAATGTGATACACTAAGTATCACAGGGTTGAAAAAATAAAGTCTCAGTTCTTCACTTACATATACATTATGACAGAAATCTTTATTGGCATGCGACCACTGTTTTTTAATTAAGACATTTACAGAAATTCACATTTTCATTCAAATTGTGCAAATATCAGCAAATTACAAACATATATCAATCGAAAAAGGCGTTTTTGAAATTTTTTAAATGGGAAACATTTCAGTGTTAAACATTAGGCCAGAAAAACGTCAGAGCGTGACGTCCCCCCTCTATAGAGGTCTGCATCAGCAGTTTAGATGCTGAACCTGATCTGTGTTTAGCTGTGTTGTGATCATAGTGATCATAATACTGTCAGAGTATTGGCCAAAAATGTTTTCTAGACTAAACAACATAAAAAACTAAGTGCTAAAAACTAATAATTAACATTATTTTAGCTGTTAGCTTACACACACAAACTAACAGCTGTGGCTGTTTTGAAACCTTTGTCTAAACTGACAGTTGGCCACATTTTCACTGGGATGTTTTCACTTCAGGTAAGAATAAAACTGGAGACAATTCTTGAAAGAAAAGGAATCAATTGAAGCATAAACACATTCAGCACATCCTTTAAACACAACAGATTGTCAAAGGCAAGACTGCTGATTTACAAACGTTGTTTTCAAGAGTTCTCAGTGATGGTCCTTCATCAAACATCTTTGAACAGACAAATATGCTTATGGTTCATTTCCCCACCTCTAATAATACTGATACAGCATGTTTAGTCTATCAATTGTTTCGTAGACTAAACAAGTACAAGTGAGTCAAGTTGAACTAGTTCTTGTAATTAAGACTTTGTCCACCAGGGGTCAGCATTTTTCAAATCACAGCAGCGTCTGATCTGAGCTGACTGCATACAGAGACTGTTGGTGAAAACAGCCTAATGGTTAACTCTACGTCACTATGTTTTTACTTTGTTCTTCATCAGGTAGTAAAATAAGGTTTCTCTTTGTTGTGACTCTGAACAAAACAGAGTCCATCCTGGTTTGTGATGACGATACAAAGGCCGCGTGTCTGTAGCGCGTTAGCAGCAGTGGGTAGCTGTATATTGTAATACACAGAAAAAGAAGGCTCATGTGATTATTGCTGTTCTATCCAACTGTCCTGCGGATGATTGATGAATCCTTTCTTAACTTCCTGATTATTAAATTTAGTACAATTAATGAATCAATGTAATATTAACTATGTATTAGAGACGTTGGCAATGATGAGGTAAACTCAGCTGATGCCATGAACAAAGGTTATGGATGAGGCTCGGCTTCATTACACAGTCACCCGCAAAATAAAAAGACAGTAAGACACATATTCGTCCTCAGAATAAGAAGGTCAGAAAGTCATTCATGTCTAATCTACAGTAGCTGTTACATCATATCAAGTAGAAAAATTTAGATTTTTTTAAAATCTATTTATAGGATCCGTTAGTTTAGTATTCATTTTTCTGTATCCACAATGAATTAGTTTATTTCCTGTTTCATTAAGTTGTTTCTTTCTTGTTATATTTGTTATATATTTTTATTGTTTTTGTACTTCACTGATGTTTTTGGTGCTTTCTTTTCACCTTATTGTAAAAAACCCTGAGAGTTTCATTGTCTTGGTGCATGCTCAATCATCCAGGTAAGTAAATCTCCAAAAGTTGATTCTGCATGTAGCGTTTTGTGGGAGCAGACGTGCACCATAAACCTACACATACGGATCAGTATTTAAGGTTTGACTCTCGTCATCCACTGGAGCACAAACTGGGTGTCATCAGTAACATAGTTCCCGAGTTCCTTCATCTAAACTCTCTGCTTAAGATTAAGGAACTGACCTCCCAGCCCTTTGTTCCTTCAGTGGGCTGATTTCAGTCATTATGCAAATGTACTGTTTATAAGATTGAAACCTGCAGTCAGCTGAGACTGAAGAAGTCACTTGGATGAGTGACGAAACGTTTCTCCCACAAAACGCTACGTGCAGATGAACAGAATCAACTTTCTTTTTTTTTACTTGAACAAAAGTACCAGCTGTTCAATATTTATCAGCTCAAAGTGTGACATGAACAGATTAGTTTCCCTCATGATGGCAGAACGATGCAGACAGACCAGCACAAACAAACGCCATCACACTCTATGGTGTGTAGACACTGCAGTGATTCAACCCTGGACTATAAACAACTCAAAGTCAAACAAAGTGATTAAAGTGTAGCACAGACCTCCTGATGGAGATTAGGGCAGCGATCGACAGGCCGATCAATACCAGTCCACACATAACAGCTGTAGTAATGACTGCAGTGTTAGAGCGAGCCCCTGTGGAAAAATGTGTAATGAAAGTACAGTTACTAATCATAATGTTGGTGATTATCAAAGAATGTACATGATCTTTATAAGTATAAACACAGCTGACTTAATACTTCATACTAGTTTGCGCACCAGAATATTACTGTAATCCCGACAGGCTTGTTTTACTGCTGAATTATTCAAAAACTGAAGTGTATGATGACTAAGTGACAGTAAAACTTGCTGCTGCATCAGGATTAGTTATGTTTTCTGTTTTGGTTCAACAGACAGATTCACTTCCTCAATAAGCTTTAACTTGTTAACTGAACCATGAAGAGAGAAACCTGTAAAAAAGTCCATTTCCCCTCCAATTGTTCCCCTCACAGTCGCTCACATGTCTTATTTTAGGAAATTATGAGTAAAGCTCACGTGCAGTAATAACACGAGGTCATAGCTGCAGAAACACTGATAGGTTCACTTTTGATACAGTTACACTGAATCTTTACTTTTACGTTATTGGTCTGTGTAGTTATGTTTCAACAGCAAACATTTCTGGGTGTGGGCGACCGTGGCTCAGGGGGTTGGGAATTGCATCTGTAACCGGAAGGTCGCCGGTTCAATCCCTGGGCTCTCTGTCCTGGTCGTTGTGTCCCTGGGCAAGACACTTTACCCTACTTGCCTACTGGTGTTGGCCAGAGGGGCCGATGGCGCGATATGGCAGCCTCGCTTCTGTCAGTCTGCCCCAGGGCAGCTGTGGCTACAACTGTAGCTGCCTCCACCAGTGTGTGAATGTGAGAGTGAATGAATAGTGGTATTATAAAGTGCTTTGGGTGCCTTGAAAAGCGCTATATAAATCCAATCCATTATTATTATTTCTGAGTAGAATAAGTCTTTGTCTGGCTGAATGTCCCCACTTTACAAATGCAATAATAAAAGCTCTGGCAGGTGCATGGTTACACATTTAGTCAGGACTCTACAGGTAAGAAGTTATTTGTTATGAGAAGTTGAGATTTTGGGTCATGTTGTTTCACTTTTTAAACCAATGCAAAGAAAATGTCCAAAATACACATTTAGTAGTTTATTTTATGCTTTTGTCCAATTATCCAAATTTATTTGCATAGCCACCCTGGGGCGCACAGACACTGGCGCCCTCTGACCACCACCAGTAGGCAATGGGTGAAGTGTCTTGCCCAAGGACACAACAACCGAGACTGCCCAAGCCGGGGCTCGAACCGGCAACCTTCCAATTACAAGGCGAACTCCCAACTCTTGAGCCACGATCGCCCAATGATTAATTAATTTCTTTAGAAATCTGGCTTTATCTGGTCATCAGCTGGGCAAGTTTCTCCCTGCAGTGTTTTATATCAGCTCGATCTTACCTTCAGTTATTCTCAGGTGTATGTGGGTAATGTGCGTCTCCTCAGCATTACTGAGCTTACAGGTGTACATCCCCTCCTGCTTTGTGGATAAGTCCTTTAGCATGAGGCTGCCTGACTTGGACACATTCTCCACCTTCTGCCTCCACCCGTCTGACACCGAGTAGGTGACGTCGGTCCAGGACTGGCTCAGGACGGTCTGAGTGTGGTTGAATCTCCAGAGGAGGGTGAAGTTGGTGAGTGAAGTGTTTGAGGGGGTGCAGGGGATTGTCACACCAGTGCTGGGACCACTGATATCAGCTGAAGGCATACAACGTAAATGATTAACAACAATATTAAAAACTACAGTCTTGGGAAATTACTAAGAGGTCCATGCAGCCCCAAGCAACACCGAGCCGAGGCGAGCACTCCCACACAGAGCGTCATGTATCCATGGTAATCAAAGGAGCTTGCAAAGAAAAGCATCTGGACTTCTTTAAGATACTTGAAGACATTTTGCCTAAACGCCCACTCACATCCTGGGCCATCTGATCTCAGGAATTTGCATGATAAGGTGGGGCCAGGTTTCACAATGAACTCACCCGAAACTCTGGCTGATTGAGACCCACACCCAGTTTCACACCTTGGCTCAGGCAATTAGAGGATCATCAGGGGGTCCTTTTGTCCCTCTGTGGGGGGGAAACTCCCACTAGGTTTATATCTGGGACTCTCCACCATTTGACCTTAGAACTGAAGAAGCTTCTCGGATGAGAGGTGAAACGTCTTCAAGTAACTTAAAGAAGTCCAGACGCTTTTCTTTGCAAGCTCCTTTGACTACGATGACCTGGATGACTGAGAACCTTCACAGACATATCCATGGTAACCACATAGTGAACCCTCACCAGCCAAAAGACCCCAGCAAAGAGCGTTGTCCAACACTCATCAGTGATGTGATATTTGCTTGAGTTTTCAGGTTCTGTTGCCATAGCATCTTACAATGCAGAGAAGACAGAATGCAATTGGACGAGAAGCGAAACTTAAACTCACCGGCAAAAGTTAAGGATACAAAGTTTGTGTTTGGTGATTTTAATTCTGTAACAAAAAGCAGGAAAAATGGTAAAGAAGAGGAGTCCTGACTCTGAGGGACTCTCAGACAGCCATGAATTTGGGATATCAACAGGAACTCGTGATGTCGTCTACGAATGTCATCACACACCCACTGTTGTGCTTCACTTCTAGAACAAAACATCCAAGTCAATATCCTCAGATATTTGTAACAGGGTATCAGACTGATCCATGCTGCACTGTTCCTCCTGAAGCTTGGAGTCTTCCTAAAAGTATCGTAGCATGGACCTTCCCAGGATGGCTGAGAAATGTGAACCCTCTGGTTCCTCTGTGGATCCAGAGCACCAATCTGGAGGAGCTGTCCCCAAACCCCCACTGATGTCACCCAGGAGAAGCCTTCAAGACCCAAAGCCTAAAAGAACTTGAGTTGAATTTCATCCACCTCAGTGCACCAACCACCAAACAGCTTAATAAATACCTCAGTGACCTCTGCCCCGCTGGCAGACCAATCTTCCTTGTTTTCACTGAGCTCATATAGACCCCTGCAGCTGAGCCCTCCACATACTGATATATGTATGTTATTACTGATATTTAAAGAAATTCCTGTATTTTCTAACAGTGTTTTGATGAGAGAGAGCTCAACAGTTTTTTCTTCTTTTTTGCATAAACCACATCCAAAGTCCGCCTTTAACTTTTCTGCTTTTTGATCATTCTGGTGCGCCTTGTTCATCTTGACACTTTTTAAAGGTCCACAGTCTTTGTGTGGATGCTGCATTTTATCTGAAAGTGCACGGTGACGAAGATACATCACGGATAGAGATTTCCTTGCATTGTTTCATCAGGATAGATAAACAGGTTTTGTGTTTTTTGTTTGTTTGTTTTAATTTTACAGACAACATATTTAATGCAGTTTTCCTTCATATTTTTCCTAGTTATCTACATCCCATCTGCAGTTCTCCTAGTTTGGTTGAAATACTCACATAGTCTCTGCAGAGTGGCTCTCCTCCTGTTCCTGCGAGTGCTGATGGTGCAGATAAAGAGCAGGTGATAAACACCGGCTGAAAGGATCAGAGAGCTGCTGATGTTGTAAAGCTGCTGTTCAGTCTGGTTGACTGTGGTGGTGTTAGTGAAGGTGATGTTGGATGGAGGGCTTGTGGACCAGGTGAGCTGAGGTTCAGGGTAGATCCCCTCTGACCTGCAACTGATCCTGTTTTCAACCTGATTCATTTTGACCTTATTAACTGGAGCTGCAACAAAAAATCACGGATCAAAAACTCATCATTAATCTGATGACAAAAATGAACACAAAATCTTCATTCATCTGACAGTGCACGGAGAACTGAGCTGATGTTCACTGCAAGTTTCTCCTACCGTCCACTTTTAGGTTGACAAATGATTCCTGGTTTCCCGTGATGGTGCTGGTGTGGCACTTATATCTGCCCTCATCCTGAACCTCCACACTTGTCAGCTGGAGTGAGGCATTTCCACTGGAGATCTGGTCCTTGAACAGTGAAGTCCTGTTTCTGTAGTACTGGTCCTGGTTTCCAAGCTGGTCTCTGCTGTAGTAGAATGAGTGGACATGAAGGTCTCTTGGTGTCTTAAACCAGTGGATGACGATTTCATTCCCAATCTTGAAACTGCACGGTAAGACGCATCTCTCCATGAAAACACAGGACACCTCAGTATCTGAAACATCAGAACAGACAAACACTAAAATTAAACACATACAGCGGCTTGCAAAAGTATTCGTCCCCTTGAACTTTTCCACAAACATGAATCAATTTGATTGGAATTCCACGTGAAAGACCCACACAAAGTGGTGAACACGTGAGAAGTGGAACGAAAATCATACATGACTCCAAACATTTTTTACAAATAAATAACTGCAAAGTGGGGTGTGCGTAATTATTCAGCCCCCTTTGGTCTGAGTGCAGTCAGTTGCCCATAGACGCTGCCTGATGAGTGCTAATGACTAAACAGAGTGCACCTGTGTGTGATCTAATGTCAGTACAAATACAGCTGCTCTGTGACGGCCTCGGAGGTTGTCTAAGAGAATATTGTGAGCAACAACACCGTGAAGTCCAAAGAACACACCAGACAGGTCAGGGATAAAGTTATAGAGAAATCTAAAGCAGGCTTAGGCTACAAAAAGATTTCCCAAGCCTTGAACATCCCACGGAGCACTGTTCAAGCCATCATTCAGAAATGGAAGGAGTCCGGCACAACTGTAAACCTACCAAGACAAGGCCGTCCACCTAAACTCACAGGCCGAACGAGGAGAGCGCTGATCAGAAATGCAGCCAAGAGGCCCATGGTGACTCTGGACGAGCTGCAGAGATCTACAGCTCAGGTGGGGGAATCTGTCCATAGCACAACTATTAGTATCTGACCCACCTGGCCTTTTTGACAGCCACGTCTGGCCCATGTACCTGAAACATAAGAACATCTAACTTTAAAATATTAGAAATAAGCTTGCCTAAGAGTTCAGGCTGTGTTGAATAAATATGGTCAAACCAAACGTTGACTTTCAAGCATGTTACAGTTGTGTAAATGCCGATTTTGCCCTATATGCTGTATTTCCATGAATGTTTGCAAATTCCTCAATTTTTCTAGTGAATTATAAAAACACGAGTGGTGGCTCAAAACTTTTACACAGCACTGTATACGTAACAGCTGCAGCACTTCTTCCTGCAAGGGTTACATGTTGTAACTTCGTACTGTTACTAGAGGAGAGCTTAAAAATTGTGTTGGACAGCCATTATTTCTGTCTTAATGGGCAACTCCCACTAGGGTTTAAATAGTGGGAGATTTACCCGAGGCACTGACCAGAGGGCAGCAGTCAAACAGGTGGTGGACGGGGTGCGAGAGGTCACCTGAGATAGTCCTGCTTTTTCTGACACAGGAGGATCTGGCCATGGCCTCCAGGGGTCGCAGAGGGCAGCCAGTGATTTTTGGGCAGTGTTAATTACCCTCTGAGCAGCCTGTTCTCAGTCGTGGCCCCTGCACATCTAGCTCCAAACACCCAGGCAGGAGGAGAGCACGCTCTCTTCTTGAAAATGGCTGTGAGTTCACTGCTATAAAACGACAGCCAATAAAGCAACTATGAGATGTGGTGGAACGGCAGATTCACATCACGGATCTGACAAATCTCCAGCAGCTGTGAGAAGCTATCAAGTCAACGTGGAACAGAATCTCAGAGGAGGGTTTCCAGAAAATAGCTGCGTCTTTGTAATGAAGGATGAAGGCAGCTCTGAAGGCAAGAGGACGCAACAAGATGTACCTGCTGGTGATGAGTGTGTGCAGGCTATTACATTTGTATTCATGTTGGACAGTCGGCTGTGATTTATCGAACTTCTCTTGTTTGAAATCTGCTCTTACGTTTGGTTCAGTTCACTAAGTGAAACAAATTTTGAGTGATGGGATTCTTAGTTTCGGTCTTTGTAATCAAAATTTTGACTGTAGGTCTCAGACATTATTAACAGGCACGTGCAGAGGGGGGGCTAGAGGGGCTTGAGCACCCGCCCCTTTCCTGATGAGTGCCCAAAATGCCCTTTTGTTGAGGCAACTTTTAAAAGATTTTTTTTGTGTGTGTGTGTGTGTGCGCGCGTGCGGAGTCCTGTCTGTGCCCCTCAACAATGTTATATTTAACTATTAATCACAGTTTTGCTAAATAAAAGGATCTGGCTTGCATCAGACGGGAGAACGCGCTGGTTACGAGCCGGGAACGAGCTCACAAAGAGCACGCGCATTTTTAGCGGTCCAGAGCTGTAGGAGAAACACAAGTTAACTCAGAGACACAGACTGATGCGACACAACCAGTAAGTAGGTGTACAGCGTACACTGTAGTGTGTAGCACACAGGAGTATCAGCTTATTACGTACACGTTGGTAAGCTGTCTTGTGGCAACTGACGAACTGAAACAAACGAGCGTGCTGTGTGTGCAACAGCGCGACAAACATTACCTGTCCTTTTATTAACTGCACAAGTAGTGCTGGTCATAGCTGCTGGCTACCTGTGTAAGGCTGTCATGGGTCTGTAGCTCTGTCACCGTTTTAGGGAACATATTTAGTTTTAAAGTAAGTTTCCGGGCTTTTCCTGCCTTTCTGGAGGGATTATATTTCACTAAAAACGATCTAATATGCATGTCCACATAATTATGCATTATTATAATATTTTAAAAAACACACGCTGTATTTTAAAGAACATACATTAAGAAGCAGATTATATTAGATTTATATTTTAAATAAGACAAAATTAGGATTTTACAGCAGTAACATTATTGTATCTCTACAGTTTAAACATGTAATAAGCTTTGCCCCTGCACAGAGTGGATAGTGAAACAAATGGAATCATCATAAATACATTATTTCATATTTATTACTTCCCCCTCCTCTTTGCTTTATTATTGTAGCTCTAGTAATAAATAATAATGTAAGGATTCTGGATCAGCACCATGATGCCCATAGTATATACAGTATTCTGAAGAAGGTCTAAAATGTCACTGTGTGTGTTTTATTTTGATGGATTTTTAAAAAAAATATTACTCATGATATAACATTGTCCAGACATGGCTGGTAAGGACATGAGGAGGAAACAGCAGAGCTGTGTGAGGCTACTAAAGGCAGGGCTATAACATTTTTCTGTCATCATTTTATTTTATATTAAGTGCAAGAGTTGTTAGGTGTGGATAATTAGCTTATAGTTTATTGCAATAGCAAGTTGTGCTTTGTTCTCACATAGCAAGTGGAGAGTGATATATGAAAAGATGGGATGGAAGGAAGAAGAGAAGCAAAGAGTGATTCACAGGCAGAGTCTAAATTATTTCTCACAGTTTTTTGTTGCCTTATGGTTCAAAGCGCTGTCACCAATCTTTGCATTTTGTTATTATCTCATGACACTTGTTTAATCAGCTACCATCTCTCCTGTGGACTTTTTAATGCCTACAGTCTCAGATCAACACAGCCCTGCCCACCAGCACTATCCACAGCAACCCCTCAACAGCAACATTGTACCCATCAGGTAAAGCATCGGCTACGTTTGCTTTGCCTTGTTGCCCATATTAGATTCTTGATGAATGTGTTGTTGTTGTTATTCAGCCTGGTTCAATGTGCCCCTTTAAACCTCTCTGCACGGCCCTGATTATTAACATTGTGTCTAACCCTGAGTGTGAGGTTGTTATTACAGCCTGTACTCTTTTAATTATTGTAGATCTTTAGCTATGTTGTGTTTTGATATGCTGTATTTTTACAACCTAAATTACAGAATTTAGACTTCTGTTTAATATTTTGTAAGTGAAAGCGGGCGGACTGATTGGAAAGCAAACTGAAATGTTTAAAGTACTTAGAATGAGGTTTTCAGAAGAGGAAGGGAAAAAGGAAGTAACATTGATACTTGATCTTCGCAAATATTCAGACATAAGGACTTCAGTGTTCAGAGATTTCAGTTACTGATTATATTTACATGATTAACAAGCACAGTGATGCATGTCTCCTCTGCTCTAAGCCCCAATAACCAAACTACAGTTTCCTCTAATAATCAAAGTTAACTATGGAGCCCATTCACTGACGTGCCGTCCAGACTCGTGTAACTGGCTTTGGCTACGAATAAAAGCCGAGATGTGCTTTTGCTGCTGTCCCATTGTAGTCGCTCAGGAAGAGGACGTCTCCCACCCAGCCCGACCGTTAACTTCTCCGCTTTAAAAGCATTTCCAGACCCACTGATAAATACGACGCATTACTCAAATCCTGACTGCGACATCATGTCTACGTTTAGATTTTTGTTCAGCCTGCTGAGATTTTCAGGGCTTTCCCTCCGTCGCAGGAAATCCCGTGTAGTCGGGCTGAGTTTGTTTCCTGATTTTTAATGTTTTTAACTAAAAAGTTTATGCGTCTTTTGAAGAACACAGACGCCAAGCTTCTTATTACAGCCTGTACTCTGTTAAAATGCTTATTGTAGATCTTTATTTTCGTTACTTCTAAGCAAAAGTTCGTTGGTTCAGTTCCAGCCAGGGATAATAAATAAATAGATAAATGAACAAACCCCGCCTTGTATCGAGGGAGCGGTAAATGCCTTCACGAAACATCGAAAGAAGTCCAAAGAAGTCCAGTCGCAGAGCCAAAGCGTGAAAACTGAATACAGTGAAAAGTTTCGACCAAGTTCCCCAAAATGTTTTTTTTTTTTACAAACGCTCTGATCAACTGACAGCAAACATCTCACTCACCTCCATCTACAATCGTCAGAAAGATCCAGAGTAACAAATACGAGCTCCGTTGACGCACCATTACTGTTACTGTAGCCGTCGCATTGAAATGTAATTATTTTGTGATTGCAATGTTCAAACTTTGGTGTTTAATCTGGATTCATGTTGTGTTGTCGCCACCTACTGGTTGGCCTGAGTGTGGCGCTTTGTGGTGCGCATGCTTTGGGGTGATGCTCAATTAAGTGCACGTGTCACCAAAGACTGAAGGCTCCAGCCAGAAAGAGAATGCTGGCCTGTGTAAAGGGTGGAAATATAGAAGATATGGACTACAATTGCTCATGAATGTTCAGTAGAAAGGCGCACACGGTATGTTGGTGCATTTACTTTGTGTGTATGTTTTATTTGAGTTGTAATTTTTGTTCTGCTGATGTAATATCCGTGTTTTTCATTGATCGTTTCACCATAGTTTTTCACGGTGTTTGCTGGTGAAAAGAAGATTAAAATACTGGCTGAACATCAGTTGGAGCATGGCCCTTTATTCTACTTCGAACATGAAAAACCTTCAGAAGCAGTTAGTTACATTCTCTGCTGTGTCCCGCCTCCTCACCAGGGACCTACTGTCCACAGTTTTCTTTTAAATCAAATCAAATCACTTTTATTGTCACATCACATGTGCAGGTACTTTGGTACAGCACATGTGAGTGAAATTCTTGTGTGCGAGCTTCACAAGCAACAGAGTTGTGCAAAATACAATAATGTAAACAACAAATACAAATGCTACATCTGAAATAATAGTATATGCATTTCTGGATGTGTATACTAAATATTTTTCTACACGTGTGTGTGTGTGTGTGTGTGTGTGTGTGTGTGTGTGTACACATATTTTACAAATTAAATAGAGTAAACAATAAATAAAATATATAAAAATATACAGAGTTGAATATGTGCAAAACAGTGGCATTACTGTACAGTATGGAGTGCATAATGTTAAAGTTCCAGTAGTGAAGCTGAGGTGTCTATGACGTGTTCAGCAGCCTGATGGCCTGATGGAAGAAGCTGTCTCTCAGTCTGCTGGTACGGGACCAGATGCTGCAGAACCTCCTTCCTGATGGAAGCAGTCTGAACAGTTTATGCTGGGGTGACTGGAGTCCTTGATGATCCTCCCCGCTTTCCTCAGGCACCGCTTCCTGTAGATGTCTTGGAGGGAGGGAAGCTCACCTCCGATTATCCGTTCAGAGCACCGCACTACTCGCTGGAGAGCTTTGCAGTTGTAGGCGGTGCTGTTGCCATACCAGGTGATGATGCATCCAGTGAGGATGCTCTCAATGGCACAGTGATAGAAGGTCCTGAGGATGCGGGGGCTCATGCCGAATCTTTTCAGTCTCCTGAGAAAGAAGAGGCGCTGCTGCGCCTTCTTCACTGTTTTGTTTGTGTGTACTGACCACGTAAGATCCTCAGCCAGATGTACGCCAAGGAACCGGAAGCTGCTCACTCTCTCCACAGCAGCGCCGTTGATGGTGATGGGGGTGTGTACTTCTCTGCACCTCCGGAAGTCCACTATCAACTCCTTTGTCTTTGTGACGTTGAGGGTGAGATGGTTGTCTTGACACCAGTGGGTCAGGGCGCTGACCTCCTCCCTGTAAGCCGTCTCATCGCCGTTGGTGATAAGACCCACCACTGTAGTGTCGTCCGCAAACTTCACAATGATGTTGGAGCTGTTAGTGGCTGTGCAGTCGTAGGTGTAGAGTGAGTATAGTATAGTTTACATGAGGTGGATGAAGTCAAACACAAAGCTCCCTGTAGTCAAAGTTTTTTTTCATTAACGTTTTCATTAAAATCATGAAAGTTATGGTGCAGTGACTGTTTTTATGTTTCTTTAAATTCAGAACCATAATTCCTGCTGCAAAGGTTAAAAAGGGGCCTGTTTACACATGCAAGTGAAGTTACGGGCATGAAATACACTTCAGACTGTGTTACAGGTCAAAATGAATAATATGCGATATTCAACTCAAAAACAAACTTATTAAATCTGCGGGGGTTTTTGTAACTTGTCGTGTTATTTTCTGTTGAACACCCATTTGCATATTTCGTCACCAAAAACTCTCCCAAACAAACCAAAAAATGTTGCAGGATCATCGGATTAAACATGTAACTGGTTTTCAAAGCTGTGGGACAAATCTGCAACAGAAACAAGAAAAATGATTTAATGTGATGGGTCCTGCAACACTGACGCACCGACGCATGTATCAAGCTCACATAGCAAAGCCTGCGTGCGTCGCTTTAAGAAAAAGTCACATGATCGACACAGCTGCAGTATCGCTCATTGCCAACGACCCAATCTGTGTTTAAAAGGTTCCGCATCTGTCAACGGAATGAGTCGCCACCAAAAAACACAAAATTACTCTCGCAAAGATAAAAAAATACACATCTCTCCATAACAAAATGGAGCCCGAAAGAAAAAGAAATGTTTCTGCTGTGTGGGATCATTTTGATCTTTTAACTGCAAATAAGGTAATAGTTTGTCTGTCTTTGTTTCAGTGTAACCTATCATAATAGGAAAAACAGCAATGTGACTTGAAGTGTAAATTATTTATTTCATTTTATGCAGGTTAAATGTCGCATCTGTTCTGCGGAGCTTTCTTACACAAACAAAAGCAGCACCTCAGTGTTTAAGCATCACAGAGCCAAACATGAAAATGAGGAGACAAACACACCGAGGATGAACACTGGTAGGCCTATATAGACACTGAACATCTTTATCATCATTTGTTTTAATTAATATGTGTTTTATTATTTTCATCTAGGAAGACTGTTCTGGACCAGGCAGTACTGGATTTTATTATAAAGGACTGCCAACCCTTTAGTATTGTGGAGAGTGTCGGAGAGAAAAATTCCAAGATCAGAGGATCCTTTAACGTACTGGGGGGAAAGGAAGACATATTATCAGAACCTTATCCACCTGGCTTTACAGTTTTTGTGTAGCCCAGCTTCATCTGTTCCTGTGAGTTTTCCAAAGCTGTGGAAATGGTGCAAAAAAAAAAAAAAAATGCAATAGACTGAATTCAAAAACATTGGATAAACTTTTTTTTCTGAATAGAAATTTATAATAAACTCTGAGTCAAATGGGTAATATTACATTCACAATACTTTCATTTTAATTTTCACTTAATGTCATTCACAATATATTTGTAGAGTATAAAATAAAGATGTGTAAAATATTTGCAATGTAAAAGATATAAAATGATTCCATGGAAAGTACAATACCTTACAGTGTACAAGTTTGACTTGGCCATTGAATCAGTGTCTGTTGTGAGTCTCAAGTTGCCTGCAATGGTATTTAAGGTCCAGCAGGTGTCAGCATGGAGCAAAACAGCAACACTGTGTCGACACAGCATGGATACAGTTTGTGCTGAAACGCTTCACGAGGCCTCATCTACCCATCGCTACACGAAACCGAACATGACCGTATTCAGTCATAGTCCCCTGACCTGTAAAGCATCATCGATGCAAGCAGCATGTAAATTCAAAAGACGGCATAATATCATTTTACCTCTTTTCTTCGTCCAGTGCAGAACCACACCAGCTGCTGTCGCTGATAATGCAATGACCAAAATGTGCTTTTGGTATATAGGTTTTGCCTTCTGCACTTAAGATGCGTTTAGATGAGGCCTGCTGGCTTTTAATTCAATCACCATTTTCTGCACAGCTGTCACATGACTACACTCAGACATCACGCAGACTTCATTACAGGGAGATAAAAGATTAAAGATCTGCTTAATTGCAAAGAAAGCCTTTCAGATGTATCTTTTAGAAAAGTTCAGGGCTGCAGTGAGTGTGAGTCCAGGTCACATGCCCCAGCAGAGGGAGTGTTCGCCCAGGGCGCCAAACAGGCTAGGACCGCCACTGACGCCACAAAATGTTGAAGTCCTTCTCTTAAAGCTCTTTAGCCTTTTCGGTTAGTGTTCATACTCTTTCGCTTTTATGAGCAGTCTGTAGTTCTGTAATTTGCTCAGCATCATCTTCTTCCACTGCAGTAAGTGGTACAGCATAGTGCTCTTGGAGATCTTTGTCAACCGTCTTGTGAGTATAGTTAAATGTCATTTAATGGTCTGTGTTTAGATTTCAAAATCCTTAAGTATTACTCTGGGGTTACTGTTGCATATACTTTAGCTGTAATGACATTCACTCTTAATGCAGATGCGTTTGTACTGAAAGAACCCTGCGAACTTCACTCATAGTTCGACCTTAAACAAGCACACAGAACTCTTCCCTAAACTACAAAGCATCACTTTGAAGTACAGTAGAAATTAAGTTACCTTTGATGAACATGTTATAGAAACTTATTGTGGATCTTTCAACTTGCCTTACACCACTCTCATTCTACTTTTAACACTGTCCTTTGTTAATTTCCACCTTACTCCAGTTGTATACAGTAGTTGCTGCTGTGCTTGGCTGCTTGTGAGCAGTAAGCTTGTGTAATGGCGCCCTCTTGTGTCGCTCTACTGTACCGTCACTCTCTGCAGCTGCCGTCTTTGTGATGAGCTTCTTGAGAACTGAAGAAGCTTCTCGGATGAGAGGTGAAGCGTCTTCAAGCAACTTAAGGAAGTCCAGACGCTTTTCTTTCCAAGCTCCTTAGACTACGATGAACTGGATGGCTGAGAACCTTCACCGACTCTTAATATAAGCAGTCCTTACCCTTAAATCTCACCTCTCTTCTTCCTCTCCTGTCTTTATTATCTTTCTCCATCTCTGCGTGAAATTAGCTCCCCTTCTTTTCTTTCCCAGTGATATACAGCAGATAGACCTTCTGTGCCATTTCATGTTTAGGTTAGTTATATTTCTTTGTGCAGTCATTTGGTTTGTTAAGTTTGCAGTTCTTTGCCCGAGTTCAGTTTTGTTTCTTTGACCTTTTTTATGAGCTCAACATTAATTACTTTTGTAAACATAATTTTTGGGTTAAATGAATAAAAACCCTGTTTTTCTAATAATTCTTGTGACTCCTGCTTTTTCAACTCAGTCCATCACACAGACCTAAATATTTGTTTAATGTCCTGGTCAAATATTACTCCAAGGTGTGACTGGAGGCCAAGGTAATGGCATCCAGA